GGACACACTTTCTCTTGCACAACATTCAACAGCCCTTGCCTTTCAAAGAACAGTAAAATCTGCCCAGAAGTGATAGAATGCTGGGGAGTTGTTAGGAAAGTAACACAGCAAGAAAGACAAGATGCTCTTAAGGGCACTGTGTTAGAAAGGTTTAAGAAGGACCGGAATATGCTCAACATGGTAGGGATTGCAAATGCTAGTGAGTAAATGTGATCGTCTTTGGCCTTCACTTTCAGACAGGGCGTCAACATTCGGATCAGTGCTTAAGGTTAGAACTCCTGTTCAACATCTGTCTAGTTCAAGGAAAATTGTTTTTATCTCGAGTCCCTGATTCCTCAATCAAACCAAACTTTATTTTTTATCATTATAGTGTATCATGTATATGCCAAATCCTCTCTTCCAACTACAAAAAATTACTGGTGGTTTTGAAACAAGAAATTACGGCAATGCTTATGAGGAATTATACACTAATCTACTCATCTCACAGAAAGACTTTTATGCCTCTTTCTTATGCAGAAATAGTAATCATATTGTTTCCCTATTCCTTGCGAAGAAATATCAGAGAATATGAATCACGTAGCTCTTTCGGTGCTCCTCTGTTGCTCAAGTTTCAATACATTTGTGAGCTCCATTACCTACTTTCCAAATTAATAATAATAATAATAATAATAATAATAAGACATTTGTGGGCACCATAATGTAAGTAACTTGCCTCTCTCATGCGACTTTTTAGATTTATGATATCATTCAGTTGATGCAGTAGGTAGTTAGTAGGATAATTGTCGTGTATAAACATCTCCCTTTCCATTACTGGAATTTTTCTGTTTTTCAAATGCCACTGCAATTTTTACGCTCCGTTATAACTAGAGGGGCTATCGTAAAGTCAACATTACTTCTTTGATATTTATTTTCTTCCCGTATCTCATAATAATCTTTTTATTAAATATGAATCATTTTATTAAAATAAAAAATAACCTTTATTATGATAACGAAAATGATATAATTACAATATCATATGACATTGTAAACTTAGGGTGGGGTTATTGCCACAGCCACTAATGTTAATGCCACAGCATTTTTCAGTTATTTGACCATTAACCCACGCGGAGAAGGTGGTGACTGCTGCAAGTTGGATTCAAATGAGGGGTATAATAATCAAATAACTAAAAAAAGCTGTGGCATTAACATTAGTGGCTGTGGCAATAACCCCACCCGTAAACTTATAATATGTGTATTATTATATAATTTGTTCTTTTCACTCAAAGATCCATTTATGATATTGTTTACATTTATTTATTTAATGACATATCATATTCATTTAATGTTAAATCATTGTTATAAAATTTTAATTTTATATGACATTGTAACTATGGTATTACAACCATGACATTGCCATTACAATAATACGTGAATTGATCAACTAATTTAAACAATTTCAGAATCTTATTGTTTTCATCATAAAATATTTCCCTTTTTTCATTTACTGATTTATCTATTAAAGGATA